AGAAATGAATATTTTTTACTTCTATTGCAATTTTACTTGAGAGAAACCACACAGGTCTATTCCTATAATTCTGTGAAAGAAACTCGCTATTTTTGTTCCTGTTAACACTAAGTAATACATACACACATCTTTACATTCTTTCTTAATGATGCCATCTCTCAGTATTTGCTTATCTAAATAAGATAAAAATGTCCTTTTCAGAATTCAGTCAAATCAACACAGAAAGATTGATCTGGTATTTGGCACAGAATCCACATGAGAAACAGCACAAATATAAATAGCTGCACTGTGCTCTTAACCTGAGGTAGTCTGAACCGGGTTTAGAAGTCTAATCCTCACATCATTGATGCTGCTGGAATAACTCACACTATTTGTAGAGAAATAAGGGGTGAGACACTCAAGTGGAAATTTTTTCTCCAATTATACACTGAAATATCTGCTGTGTAAAGTGCTGTACAAATTTGACATCAATAAGAGTGCAGCCTTGCTTTTTATTGCTGCCCTAGAGCTCCTGACCTCCCCATGGCACACCTGCCCTCCTGCCCAAGCTGGCCCCCTTCCATCCGCTTTTCTTCCTCCCACCTCCCCATCCTATACTCCTCCCACCTTCTCCACGATTAGATGCAAGTACAGGTTTTAGCCACCCACTGGTCCTCACATGCTGCCCACACTGCTTCACTCCCAGATAAAAATTTTAATACATGGAGTGAAACACCATGTGGGATGAAGACACGTGGCTGGGAGAGTCCTTTGTACATTCCTGTGCATTTTGTGAAATGCTTTCCTGTTCATCTAGGGAAACTACCCTGCTCTCAACACAACTACCTGAAATTAATCAGCTCACGTCATGGAGTTTATGTTGTAAAATTGGTGATAGTAACAAACCTTGTCCTGCACATATAAGCTGTAAGAACTCTTGGAGAGAGATGTCACTTTTTCATTATATACCAAAAGCTATGTACAGCACAATGGGGCTGCAATCTTGGTAACGCATGACCCCCAAAACAAGAACCAACCAGTGCTTTCAGAAACACTCAAATAGCCCAGTACTGTTGAGATGAAAACCAAGAATAAGGAAGGCTGGCAGTGGTGGCAGCAGTGCTGGGCTGCTCCTTTGTACTTTGGAATCCACTCTTGTATTAATAAAGGTATTTTATGTTTCTCTCTACTTGAAAACCCAGTGGTCTGAATTGAAAAATTAACAAGCATGAAAAGTAACATTTATTATAAGGGTGTTTCTTCAGAAAACACAATTCATCTGGACCACCTGCAGCACTTGCTGCTCTCAAAAAAAAAAACTGTCATACCCCTAATTTTGATAAAATGAATTGCTTCAACACATTTGGCTCTGCCAATGTACTCCTGCCAACCTGGCTTAAATAGACAGCTTGTTCTCAGATTTTCTTACGATCAAGTTACATACGTAAAATCCTGATTAACAGAAAATTTTAGTGAGCATTTAATTGGTGTGTAGTTAACAAAAAAAGGGGAGAATTTCATGTAACTTTGCAAAATTAATTCCTCTCTTCTAAAAAGCCAGAATACAGCACAATCCTACAGCTTTACTCAGAGAGTAATGCAGCCATCTGCTTTTTATGAGGGTGAGAAACCCAGGGTCCACATACATACAAAGCAAACATTTTAAATTACATTGTACTTCTTAATTGGAATAGCAGACAGACAAACAGTCCTCTTACAGATACTGATAAACGACAAACTAGTTGCTGATTCAACCTGCCACAAAATCTGTACTAATTCTACAATTATCCCACTTCAATGGCCTGAAATTTTACTATCAGGTAATTTAATACGAATCCCATTTTTGAACCTTTCCTACAATCTTGAATTATTTAACTGACTCTCTTACTTCGTAAGAATAGGAACCCTATTTTGTCAGTGGGCCTCATCCTCGTTTACTTTGTAACTTGATCTTTGAAGCAGACCTATTTGAAAATATCCCTAGCATATCCTTTTTTTTTTCTTTTCTCCTCTCCAGCCTGCTGTTTGCTGAAAACATCTCCTTTACCCCTGCATGACAAAGCACCTAGAAATGTTCTAAGGCCTGTAATCTGAAAAGCTACTGAACTCCAAGTGATCCTGTTCCTTTTGCCCTCCTGAGAGATTAAAAGAAGAAGAAAAATAAGAAGACTCAACAAGAAGCAGGTAAAAAAAAAAAAAAAAAAGAAAAAACAGGGTAAAATAGGGAATAAGCAGTGGATTAGAGCAGAAATGCAAAATCATGACAAAGGACCAAATACACCATGGACTGGAGACTCAATTGCTTTTTGAGTCCTGGACTTCATCTGACTTTTGTATATTGTTGTGTTAGCAGGCTTCACCCACAGACTTTTTCACCTTCTTTTTTTTTCATTTGCATTATTCCTTATGTACAAGTAACATATTCCTTTACAGATTACAAAAGAAAAAAATGCCACTGAATTATGGATAGGTAATGTGTTCTGCTCTCCATACTTGGACCTAGATTTCCACCCCCCTGCCCCTTCTAAAATCAATCAGGCTGTAGCTTTTTCTCCCTACTGCTGAGCAGAAGCATTTTGTTCTTGTATATTACATTTCTTCTCTTACAAAAGAAAAGACAGCCCAAGCATAATGAAGTTGTGACCTGAATGTAAACTCATTTTTTCCCAATGGTCTTTTTTATTAATTAATTCAATTTGTTTTAAAATTACCTGACTTAAATTGTTTTAAGACTTCCAAGCATTCATATTTTCCAATTGCAGGAAAGAAGTTAAGTACACGGTTAAGTAACAAGAAAATTACCAACCTATCACCAGAGTAAAATTATAAAAAAGAGAAACGTGCTATCTAGCAAAACAAGAACAAAGCATGTTGGCCTGAACTGAAATGGGTCTTGGTGAAAAGAGGAGAAACCATGGCTTGCTTTTCATGCATCAAGGATGACAAAAGGCAGCCTAGTGAAAAACTGAGCAAAAATAAATTCTTCCAGTTTACAGAGACAAAAAACTGAAGCTGTGACAACACGTGAAGATGAAAGATTAGCATTACATGAAAACAAAAATCAGGGCTATGTTACTGTTGGAATGAATTAATGGAAAAACTTTAAGGAGAGACTTAACCTGACTATCTAGGACATTAATCATCACGAACTAAGCTGGTCATGGCTGACAGTGTGAAACTGGGCAAGAAGATTAAGAGTAGCTCTGCAACTTTATGTCTGGCTAATGCATAGAAAGCAAAAATCAGATAAATGAAACTGTATTAGGCGACATGGGGCAGGATAATGCACAGCACAAAAAAACCCCTAACTTAAATGTAAGCAAGCATCAGATAACTGGATGATCTGAAGAAATAAAGTCTCTAAAGCCAAAAAAGCTGTCTCTTCTTAAAGGAAGAGAGGAAAATAACAAAAAACCCAGAGTCATCAGGTCAACTATGGACTCATATTGCTAATATGACAATACTTTGTGATATTTAAGAACACATTATGAGGACAAATAATGATGTAAGGAACATGCATAAGCAAAAAACAAGAGAAAAGTCAGCATGAAGTTACCAAGGAAAGATTTCTGAGAGGGTAACCAGATAAGTATTTCATAAGGACACTACCTCCCAGGCAAATGCTGAAGATCAAAGCCTCCTTTTCTACCCCATCATGAATCTTTCACCCTTCAAACAAGGGTGACAATCCCATGTTTCTCCCATGCTTCCTGCCTTTACTTACATCCTCAGTCATGAAGTGAATTATTTCAGGCTTTGGTGAAATGGGTCATCTCCATCTACTCAGAGTCACGTAAAAAGAGCTCAGAATCAGCTTCAGACTCTGATGCTTACCAAGGTATGATGACTCACACACTATAATTTGAGATTGTATCTGTCCAGGGTTCAGTCAAGTATTTGATACAATTGTTCAATGAAAATTTTCCTGGAGAAAAAGATTACTACAACTCCTACAACAGACTGAGAAAGTAGCAGGGTAAACACAGCCTCCATTTTTAAGATGGAACTGGTAGATTTATGAAAACTTTTAGATTATATGGTTGCATGTGCTAGCAAGGGATCTGTGTATCTAGGAAACACTTCTGAGTTCTGTCTTCCAATGACCATCTCCAAATTTGCCTCTTCAGAGGCAGGTGAGGACACATTTTACTCTTAAGAAGTTCAGCAGAACAGCTATGGTTTTCCAACACTCAATTCAATAGACGTAATTTCTGACAAGTGCTCATGGCCAGTATGAGACTCTACTTTGACAGAGCAATTATTTCTTTTCCTGTCTAAAACTCTTCCTATCTTCCTCTAAGCATACAATTACCATAATAAAGAAAACAGAGAATAGAAATTAAAATAAAATACCACTTTCTAAAATGAACATTTTCAATATTATTTTTTTAATCTGTTTCTTAACTGAATAGTAACCACAAATCACTATCTATTTAAGCTATTGTGTACCATACATATTGAGCAATGAGATAATGTGAAAAAATGAATAGCTGATGATGTTATTTGGATTGCACACATGGCAAGGAAGAGGTATCCTTGTAACTCAAATCTTCATTTGCTTTCTCATAAATCTTGCTGCACTGTCAAAAGTTCCCAGAGCAGATGAACACAAGAATGCCTTGATTTCCCTATCAAGCCTGCAATAGAATACATAGCATAAAACAAAGTGTTGGGTTTGTGCAGAAGCATTATGTTTTTCCAACTGCCAAGACATTAAATGATCATGTGAATCACATTTCAAGACTGATACTGGCAAGACTGTTAAGCCCATACTGTTTTCTACTACTACTGTGTTGTAGCATTAACACTTGTAAGTCCCCTAGAACTCGGTGAGTATCAGTGGTTTTCATGGTTTTGCTCCTTCAGAACACTAGAGGAAGAGAATGTTTACATGGATACAAAAGGAGGTGTAAGACAATCTAAAAGAAGTATTATTTTTAAAACTAATTCCCTCTTTGACAGCAACTGTTCCTCTTTCTTCCTACCAGTAGCATGTTAACACCATCTGTTCTGGACCTTACCTCAGAGCTGCTTGGGACTTCTGATCCTGAAGTAGAAACAGTTTCACATAAAGGTCCATTGCATTCTTCCCCTAAGGAACATTGAAAGAAAGATTCACATAAATACATTCCTTATTTTAAAATATGATTGTATCTGAAAATGAAGTGAACCTTGAAGGCATGGAACTATGAACAAGCAAAAGCAAAAGCAAAACTGGAAAATAATACTCAGCTACATAGAACTTTCAAGAATGGTTCTTTGAAGGGAAAAAACATTGCGAGACACAATATACTCAGTCTGTACTACCTGGCTGTAACCTTGCAGTCACGGAAACACATTTTTTAAATGTGACAAACAAAAACCTGCCAGCATCATATATTTGCTGAGATAAAATTCTTTCCTGTCTCCAATGTCTGATAGGTGACTGTCTATGAGAATCTTGCACCTGGAGCTTTGCTGCCTCAGTTATGAAAGTTCAGTTATCTCTGGGGCTCCTTGCTAGAAATTGAATTTTTGTTTTTGTTGTGAACGGATTAATGGTGCAGAACCTCAAGATAACAGATGCCCACATAACGGAGATATGACGACAGGAGCAAGAATAGTAACATAAACTTAAATTACCAAGATTCTTGTTTAAAAAAAAATTAAAAACACACAAAAATACCCAAAAAACCCACCTTAACAACAGTATTGAGCTCTACCATGACTTTCCTACAAATACAGTCAGTCCACCAAGGACACTCTTGCTTAAATGTTAATATTACAGGGGAAAAAAAATCACACTGAATACCTTCAGATTGCTAAACCACACCAAGATGTTTGCTGGGTTTGTGGCTCTGAACCTACTCTGTCAACAATTCCCTCTGGAGAGCAATAAGCTTGGCTCCTGCTCCAAGAAGTTTCTGTAAACAACCATCTCTGCTGATTAGACAGACAGACCAGTCTCCTGAATCAGGCATCTAAGTAACTCCACCACCAATGGCAAAGGATAAGCAGTTCTGAAAACAGCCCGTCATAACCTAGAGCAGGCATTTAATAAAGTTGCCTCTTTCTTCCAAGAAAAGGATTCATCATACTCCTTTCTCCACCAAAGGGCAAGGAAGTATTGACAGGTATAGCTTAGACAGGTCAGACTGGCTAGCACAGCCTAGACTGGACCACTGGCTAGATTAGTCCTGCCAATAAAACCAACCTACTCTTTTTGTTTTTGTGACCTGCAAATATTTGATGTCAAAATTGCATCCAGACAGGATGTAAACTGTTTTTTCTAAAATCTGGAATAAGCTACTTAGATAAAAGAAAAAAAAGAGAGGAAACAAAATGCTCTCAAGCTGTGTCAAAGTTCACTTACAGAAAATGGTCTGTAATTTATAACTGCGCATATGATGTGATGAGAAACTGGGCAATAGCATGTAATGGTATATAACATAATGACATCTCTGAATGCTAAGACATTCAAAGTTGTTGCGTGCTATTTTGCTAAAGAAAACTATGTCTGCAAGATTGGTATTAGTCGATATAATTTGAACACTTAAGTTTTATTCATGCACCTGTAGAAAGATGTTTGCATATGCTGATGCAATTTGGGAGACCAGTGTTAAGTCATCTCTAAAAAGTTATCGTGGAAGTAAATAACTTGGGATCATTTTGCCTCCCCAAATGTATCACAAATGCTACAAGGACTATGCTGTAAGACGGACCACCAAACACAGAAAAGGCTTACAGGAACAGCTTCAGCACAGAACTGAATTCACGTCACCTCCCAACAAAGCACAAACATTACACATGTACAAGAAACAAATGGCACATAATGGGAGAATATTAAAATAACTCAGAAACTTTGACTCAAAAAACAACTATCAAAGTATTCTGATTAACTTACTTGAGAAACTGCTTCTGCAAGAATATTCCTAAGCAGACGGTCTACCTTCATACAGGGCTGGCTCTAAGCATATGCAAACCTGGGAGCTGCCCAGGACAGCGGACCACTGCCTGATGAAAGAACGGGATCATCACCACCATGCTCTGCTGCCCACTCTGCCTGCGGCCCTGGGAGGCAGGTGGCTGCCGCAGCTTTGGCTGAAGGTAGTGAGCCCAGGAGCAGAAAGCCCAAACCCTCGGTCACACAACCCTCTGTGGCAGAAGCAGCCCGGAACCTTGTCTCTGGAGCGGTAACATCCAATTTGACTGTGCTGCTGACAGGACTTGAACAGATTCCACAGCCTGCAACAGTTTCAGTGTTTGTTTTTTCTGGAGTCTCCTTTCTGTTAGCTGTGAAAGTCTAACCTCAGGAACAAGCACGATTTGGAGTTCTACATTTTAAAAGCTGTCCCAGTACCATAGCTGATTACTTATGCAACTTGTGAAAGGAAATCCCCTTGGTATCTCTGACCCAGAGGAATATAACTGAATCACCCAACTGCAGCACAGAAAAAGGCAAGAAGAGAATGCAAAACACAAATTAACTGGGAAGTACAACATACTTAATACGTTCACTCCTTGAAAAACACATAAGCAGGATCCTAAGCAGCATAAGAAATGCATGTCCAAGTGATGTACACAGGTGCCGCAACCCAGAACTTCAACAAGGACCAGGAATGGAGACGCACAATTAGTTCTTAACCAAGAGAGCTGCCCACAGACAGCTAAACATTCACTTGTAAATCACAGTGCAATAAGCTTGGCTCATATGTGATATCAATCAGTCATAGAAACTTAAGTCTGACTTCCAAGAGGCTCTCAGCAGAAAAAAAAGAAAAAAAAAAAGAAAACAAAGAAAGACAGAGGACGCATACAAGAGTGAGGAAGGCGTAATGCTGGTTAGTACAATACCTTCTGACCACGATGGCTTGAACTTGGTGAGAGTCACAATGTCATCTTTAAAAGGAAAAAACACTTCAGTAAGAACCAGAAGTAAAAACCACTTTTACCATGAACTTGTTTAATAATTCTCCTTTACAGTACCAGCCACTACAAGAAACCAAAAGAACGAGCCCTGGACACAGGAGACTGTGACCTAGGCAGAAAGCACAGAGCAAGTTCCTCCTGAAACATCAATATTCACCTTTTTCTCCAGGAATCTTATTCAGCAACACAAACAAGGATGCCACTTTCCCATATCAGCAGTGGGGAGTACTATAATAGTTTCTGCTAGCCAAGAAAACACCCTTAAAATTCTTCAAGAAATTACAACTTCATATCTAAAGATGGAGTAAAACAATAATATCCTGATAAAACTATTGTATTTAAGGGAACAGCCTTGTTCTTCAACGTTACATGCTCCACAGTACGTAGAGATCTTAGAAAGCCTGCACACCAAGAAGAACAAATGAGGACACGTACTAAACACAAATGGCCCTTCAATACAAAATTAATTTATACAAATTGTAGTCGCTCTTTGAAAATGTTTTGCTCAAAATTAATCCCAGAACCACCCAGAACCTATTAAAATTGTTTCTGACACACATAATTTTAATATTTATTCAAATCATTGGCCTTTCACAGGCATGCACATATCCTCCCTGAAAGAAATGGCTCTTTCCCAATATAACCTTTGTCTCTAACAGCCTTACAGTTCTGCACACAACTATTTGTAACTCCTTAAACATGTGTCTTGGGAGTTTGCACATTATGGGAAATAAGTGAGCTTCACACAGCCTATAATTCTGCAGTTTTAACATATGCTGTCCCAAACTACACCCTACCGCAGGGCAACCTACTTAGAAATGTTTGGTGTGCCACCCCGAAGAATTACAGACCGTTTCTATTTCAATTACAGACCCAAATGATCAGATCAACAGTAAACCGAAAACAGTTCCCAGAAATCAGCATTCAGAAGTGAAGAATGGAGAATATAATCAAGACCCCACAAAAAAAAGGTACTTTTATTAGGGCAATCTTACAGTTCCTGTAGCAAGCGTGAAAAAAGGCTTGTTGTGCAATGAAATGATTAGTCGTTCTACAATAACTGTTCACAGTGCCTTTCTTTCAACTTCTATCACCCTGATTCATCTGCACCAAGTAGAGCTCTTGGTAGATGTCCTTCCACCAGTAAAAACGTTAACATATTAAGTGCTTCTAAAACAACTGGCACCTGAAGAGACAGTTTTAGGAATCAAAATTTTCATTTTGCTCCTAAAACTAGAAAATCATCTGCACCTGCACACTTAAGACCTCTGACAGAGCTCTTCCAAAGCAAAGTCAGAGACAGGATTCTCACACAGGGGTTCAAAAACTGTTTATTGTTTAGCAGCAGTATGACAGTATTACTACAGGTATTGCTATTACTTTCAGTATTGTTTCCAAAATACTGCTTTCATTTCTTTCCATGTTTGTCTTAGAACACAGTAACAGTGTCCCTTTCAGTCAACAAAACCGAACAGGTAAGAACAATTTTTTTCATACCTGTCATCTTGTTCTGCATATATCTGATGCCCTCAGCATGTCAGTTTACATACACACATATCCCTGGAGCAAATTTTTGATGATTTGGGTAAAACGAAAAAAACACCCCAAACTTACATCACAGCTGTTACGAGGTAGCTACTCTGCACTACAAAGAAACTTCCTAACATTCATCCTTACCAAGCAACAAAAGGAAGTTTTATTCCAAGACATGTCAAAGTTACCATCTTAAGAAAGCCCTCCCATTATTCAATAACCTGGCCTGCCCGACAGAAAAGAGAATTCAATTTAAAACACAATTATTTATCACTAAATCAATGCGCTATTTATGGTACTGTGTCCTTTGCTCCCAAAAGATCG